ATGTATAAGTAAACTTAAGAATTATCTGAAAAAATCTTGTTTTTCTTACATACAAATTCTTATGCCTAGTGATTTTAGCTAAGAAATGAGTAAAATTCACATACATAAATAAGTTAAAAATGTGATTTCTAACTGATATTTGTTGAGCTAAAAGTTTCATGTGCCACGGTGTCGGTAAGTGTCGTATTGTTGTATCTCGTGAGCTTTAAACGCCTAAATAAAAATGCTACGGGGGTTCGCAAAGTACCATCGAAGTCATATTATGAATTTTCGCAGTGTTAAAAAAAAGTTGGTTGTGGGTTCAAGTTCTCTAAACTTTTTGTTAAGCTTCTAATGTTCACGATATACAACAGTACGGCACTCACAACACTGTTGTGAATCCTTCAATAATTTTAAAATAATACTACTTTGATTTACGATTATTTCAATCCTAATTCAAACTATTTTGAAACTGGGATGAAATTTATCGTAATCGTAGACGCACTTAATTACACATGTAATTTCATCGCCCAGCTCAAATTTAGATAAAGGTTTTGACTCGCAAATGCACACACTTATGTACTTAAGACCTGCAAATGTTAAACTATAAAACATAGCGACATGTGTCCACTCATGCAAGTGCCAGTTCATATTATGTCGCTCATACATGTTTCACAATAACATATGAAGACACTGTCGAATAATTGAAAACAAATCATGCATCAAATCTATGCATGTCAACACAAGCAACACACGCGACATAATCAGCATTATAACACGATTGAGGGAAATAGAGATTGCGCCAATCGCGGTACCGCTAATCCGCTCTTTGTGATTTTGACAGAATCAGCTGTGTGCGTGACGTCATCTTGGTGCAATTGTTGCAAAGTGTAATAGTGAAAACAAAAGGAAAGCGTGCGATATAAGTTTTTTTTCGTTTCCTACGGACGCAAATCTGGCGGAAAAATGGAAGCAGTTCTGCCGGCGAGAAGATGCATTAAACACCAAATCGAGCTATATGTGCATGAAGCATTTTACTAGTGAAGATATTGAAAATAATATTTTTAGTGCTGGTATGAGGTAATGCACCAGTGGATAAGGTCGCCAGGCGCTAATTCAAGCGGCATCTTACCGCGCTGTTACGTACCTAATACAAAACAGTGGCCAACTTATTATACATTTAAAAGTTCAGCTATAAATTATGTTTTAGTTACATAGAATATTTGTTTCCAAAGAGGCCACACCCATGGTACAAAAGTCATCAAATAAAAGCTGTGGAGTCAACAGCTGTGGAGTTTATGATGGTTGGCTACCGTCCACAAATATAAATATGCACTCTGCATGGCTTTCTACAATGGCGAGTCCAAAAATTCTTTTTGCTGTACACCTTCCTTTTGGTCTACATGAAATTGCAAACACTGTTAATACATCCATTTTTTCATGTGCTAAAAATCGTACTTACCTAAAGGGCTACATGTCCAAAGTTATTGCTGCTGTTCCTAATTAATCAATCTTTGTATATTTATTGATTCCTGCACCATATGTTGCCTAGTTGGCAACACTACGTTGTATTCATTTTCTTATGTTACTTTGTTTAGTATTCATTTTCTTATGTTACCTTACTTAGCAACTTCTAAGCTTTGTTCGCTTTGTAATTTATGCAAATCATGTATGTACATTAGGGTGGTCCAAAAATGTATGGGAGAAAAGTAAAATCGGAAATTTAATGCTCTCACCACCTAGGATTGTTCTATACCGAAAAAAAATATACCCCTGTTTTTTTTTATTTTAAAATCAAAATATATTTAGAGGTCGCTGAAAGCGCTCAAAGTTTCCCATGTATTTTGTATGGGGAAAAAAAGATTTTTCGTAGAAATGGCATAGAATCCATGGAAATTAAAATTTTTCAATCTGAAAATTCTGCTTCTCTTCAGAAGACTTCAGAGAATAATGCCCAATTGTTTATTTAAACGTTTTTTAATTTAAACTATTTTTTCTTTTTTTCTTTTGTATATTTCTGTTTGTATATTTGATTTTTTTTTGGGATATTTCGGAGACCCTTAAAAAACAGTTAAAATTAAAAAATGTTTAAATAAACAATTGGGCATTATATTCTGAAGTCTTCTGAAGAGAAGCAGAGTTTTCAGATTTAAAAATTTTGATTTCCATGGATTCTATGCCATTTCTACGAAAAGTCTTTTTTTCCCCATACAAAATACATGGGAAACTTTGAGCGCTTTGAGCGACCTCTAAATATATTTTGATTTTAAAATAAAAAAACAGGGGTATATTTTTTTCGGTATAGAACAATCCTAGGGGGTGAGAGCATTAAATTTCCGACTTTACTTTTTTTTGGACCACCCTAATGTACATACGCATGTAAGCTTCAATTACATTTATACATGTTCATTCATTTTCTCTCGTTCATTCTTCTATTGGTCAGAGGGACAGCAGCACCTGACTGCTTAGCAAAGAAAGTAAGTTGGAAATAAAATTCGTTTCTATTTCTGATCAAAGTGGTCATTTAGAGCCGGATCCAGCATCCAGCTAAGGTATAATCTGGTTACGATTTATACCCAGCATAATTAATCATTTCACTTCTTGAGTGAAATCGACTGACGAGCCTGCTGCGCAGTGTCACGATCTGTAAAATAGTTGAACCACGTTGCTGGAAACTTTCACCACGGGACAGGTGTTTGCCAGGAATTGGTTCTTGCGCGGGACAATCTTATTCGTACATCACGACGAGTGGTTGCGCATTACGCTTACGTGAATTTCTGTCACTACATCGTTTAGCGCCTCGCCTTTTCTGTTGTATTAGCGTGGTCGTGTGCGAAAACCACTATAATGGCTGAAAGTTGGAAGGAATTGGTACAATTTCACGGGCGTACCAAGGCGGCGATTACACGTGTCCTTGGCTTTGCGCAAAATCCTCCACCGGATCAGGAACAGTATGATATACTTACACGAACTGATCGCTTAAAGGAGGCGTGGGATGAATTCGTTGCAGCCACAAACGCCATGTATCAATTCCGTGAAAGTCCCGAATATTCTAATCCAGACGAAGACTATGGAGTTTACGATGGAAAAGTTTTGACTGCACGTAACCTGCTTCGCTCGCTTCAGGATTCCTTTACGATTCCAACTCAACAACCCAGCTTGGATGACACCATATCTCGACTAGCTGAACAACAGTCTAAATTTTTTCATAAATTTTCTACAACTTCGATTCCAGCACAACATGCAAAAAAACGATTTGCCTAAAATTACCATCCCACCTTTCACCGGCCTGTACAAAGACTGGCCGCCATTCAAGGACTTATTCACCAGTGCAATTGCATCGAAACATACCCAAAAGTGTCACCATCTCAAATCATTGCTAAGGGATGACGCAAATTATCAAACACATTCCGGTAACTGAGGCGTCTTACGCAACGGCGTGGAACAGAGTAAGCGAACGTTTTGATCGCCCACGCCATATTGTCGCCTCATTTATTGAGAACTTTATGGCACTCCCCTTGTCATCAGGGGAAAATTCTACAATTCTTCGTAAAATATCAGACGCAGCAAACGAGGTTATCAGGGGTCTACATGCCATATCCCATGACGATCGCGACTGCTGGCTTATCTACCTTCTCCTAGCCAAGCTAGACTCAGAGTCCCGACGAAAGTGGATTGAATCTAGTGAAAATCTCAAAGTACCTACCATAACGGAATTTTGTAAATTCCTTGATTGCGAAGAATTAGAATTGGCCCAACATAGGACGCAACCCGCACGCCTTCGCAACTCTGAAACTCGGGGTCCTAGTTTCAACTAACGGGGGTCTCATGAAGTGTCCAACATTCTTATCCTTGAGCACAGATGACCGGCGTGCGATGGCCAAGGGTAAATTGCTGTGCTTCAATTGTCTAAAGACAGGGCACTCGACATCAACATGCAGTTCTAAATTCAATTGTAAGGTATGTAATCGACGCCACCACACACTTCTACATGGCCCACCGTCGGCCGCAGGTACAGCGTCTCGAGCAGGTCAAGAAAGCTCTTCTGGTTCAAGCAGGATCGACAATGGTACGCCATGGTCCCTACATCGCACGCTCATTGACATCGACACCAGCTGACACCTACACAAGTCAGCTATCACCGCTTCGTAAGGGATCGACAGCCTTGCTGCCCACAGCCATAGTTAACGTTCAAACCGCCCACGGTGGTTTTTTGAAATGTCGAGTACTTCTGGACACCGCATCAGAACTATCGTACATCACCGAGCGCTGTGTCCAGAGGCTTTGCATTCCGCGCTCTGCTGGTCGCATCGCTGTATCTGGTATATCGTCCTCAAAAGGCGAAACCACTAGAGGCTGTTGCTCGCAGGTACTTAAGTCTCTCGCGTCGAACAACGTCTTAAATGTGTCTACGTATATACTCAGCAACATCACCTCATCTCTTCCCAAAAAACCAATTCTTGCATCAGAGATCGAGCAGCTTAAGCACGTTAGGCTCGCAGATCCCACATTCCAGACACCTGTAACAAAATGTTGGACTCAAAGGGAGATCCTGTTGCAGTTTCCTCAGTTTTTGGATGGGTGGTCAGTTCAGCAATTGACGGGTTGGGTTCAGCGGATTCCACCCAAGCTCTGCACACCATAGTCGAAGTTGATAACTTTCTACGAAATTTCTGGGAAATCGAGGAACCCTGTCAAACTCAACTCATGGATTCCGACGACATAACCTTAGAAGAGCACTTACGCACGCATACGCGTCATACCGACGGTAAATACATTGTAGAGCTACCATTTAAGATGGAAGCACCGCGGTTTGCGGAAGCATTATCGGGCGCCGTTTCGCGTTTTCACGCCGTCGAGCTTCGTCTACAGAAAAACGAATCTCTTGGTGAAAAACTTCGGGTGGTGTTCGACGGATCGTTTGCAGACAGCAGAGGAGTTGTTATTAACAGCGTTGTGCATATCGGTCCTAGCATTCAGCGCAATTTGTTTTCCGTATGCTTGCGATTCAGGATGCACCGATATGTGTTCCGACAGATATGGGTCGCCGAACATCATCGAAACTACCAAAGGATCGTGTGGAGGGAGAGTCTTGCTGATCCCATAAGACACTTCCAGTTATGCACGGTTACGTATGGTACGGCTTGCGCACCATATCTATCTGTCAGGGTACTACAACAATTAGCAGAGGACTATAAGCATCAATTCCCACGCGCAAGATCAATCGTACGCGATGACTTTTACGTCGACGATATTCTCACGGGTGCCGACTCCAAACAGGAACTCATTGAAAAGCTCATGAGGAGCTTGTGAAAATGCTTGCTGGTGCTGGACTGGAACTCCGAAAGTGGGTATCCAACTGCCGTCGCATATGCAAAGACGATGACACTCTGGGTAAAGACGCCACAAAGGTTCTCGGATTGCTATGGAGGGCGAATGACGATATACTCACATACCAAACTCGCGCGCCTAATATGCGCACTTCCAGCAAGAGGCAGGTACTTTCCGACACATCCCGTATCTTCGATCCTTTAGGATTACTGTCACCAGTGACGGTGCAATTCAAATTCTATTCCAGGAGTTGTGGTTACACAAGCTAGGTTTGGATGATCCTTTGCTAATGCATCTAGCAGAGCGCTGGCTGAAGTACCAAGCTGATATTCACAATATCACAAGCCTGGCGCTACCTCGTTTCCTTAACTCTACGAGGCACTTCGAGCTCCACGGGTTCCTGGATGCCTCAATAAAGGCGTACGCTGGCGCTGTGTACTGCCGCTTCAAGAATCCAGATAACACGTTCACTATATCATTGATGGCCGCCAAGACACGAGTGGCACCTCTGAAGCAGATCTCGCTGCCTCGGTTGGAGTTGTGCGGCGCTCTATTGTTGACACGGCTAATGAAGACAATTCTAAACGTGCTGCCGCATAAATCTATAACAACATACGCCTGGTGCGACTCAACCGTTGTATTGGCTTGGCTGTCTCATCCCTCGGTAAGGTTGAAAACGTTTGTAGCAAATCGAACTGCTGAGATTTTGGAAACTTTTCCACGCAGCGTTCGGAGCCACGTCGAGTCGAGGGAAAATCCAGCTGATTGCGCGTCAAGGGGATTGGCAGCCTCTGCAATTGTGGATTTCAATCTCTGGTGGAAGGGGCCTCCTTGGTGTGGCGATGAAGAGCGCACTCGTAAGCTGGTGTTTCAAACCAATCATCAAGAACTACACCAGATCCCGGAGGCCAATGCTGAGATGAAGAGCAGTGTACTAAGCTTAGTGGCTACGGAATCTCCACTCAGCAGTTCATTTGACACATTGATGCAACGTTCATCATCATGGCAGCGGCTCTTTCGAGTTACAGCCTATGTTCTACACTTTATTCACAATGCTCGGAAGACGTCACGCAGGCCTGACGTTAAAACACTTTCGTACGATGAAATCAAGGAGGCGCGCATCCTTTGGCTACAACAGGTTCAAAGCTGTTTCCAGGAAGACATTCAGCAATTAAAACGAAATGATGAGATGAGTTCTCATTCAAAGCTTTTGCAGTTAGCTCCGTTCGTTGACGAGTTCGGCCTACTACGGGTAGGTGGGCGGATTCGAAATTCAGAATTGCCAACGGAAACTCATCACCCGGTTATCCTCCCAAAGGAACATCGTGCAACGGAACACATACTTATCGACGAGCACATTCGTAATTTACATCCAGGAGTCTCAGCGTTGTTTGTGATAGTGCGGCACAGGTATTGGATTTTGGGAGCAAGAAACCTGATTCGAAAGATTACGCACAATTGCATCAAATGTTTTCGACAGAAGCGCACCTCTACACAGCAATTCATGGCAGATTTACCGGCGATACGTGTTCGCCAAGCACATCCCTTCCAACATATCGGCGTTGATTACGCTGGGCCGCTAACTTTGAAATTATATCGGGGACGTAATGCTCGCACGTCCAAGGGATACATATGCCTGTTTGTGTGCCTTGTAACATCGGCAATCCAGATTTGAGCACTGATGGGTTCCTAGCTGCATTCAAACGCTTCATTTCGCGTCGAGGGAAATGCAGCAAGATATTCAGCGATAATGGGCGAAATTTCGTGGGGCGGCCCGCGCGCTGAACGAAATGGATCGGCTTCCCCGTTCGCAACATCATAACAACATTGTCTCGCAGACACTCACCGATGAACAAATTCAATGGAATTCATGCCACCCAACGCTCCGCTCTGGGGTGGCATATGGGAGTCAGGGGAACGGTCAGTGAAATTGCATTTGCGGCGTGTGATTGGGACCACTATTCTCACGTATGACCAGATGTACACCCTTCTGGCCCAGATCGAAGCAGTAATCAACTCACGGACACTGGGGGTGGTGCCTGACAGCAATACTAATTATCTGTCGCCGTCTCATTTTCTCATAGGTAGACCGTACACGATGGCTCCCGAAGGAGATCTTGCCCAGGTCCCCATCAACCGGCTTGAGTATTGGCAGCATATCCAGAATATGTACCAAGGCTTCTGGAAGCAATGGCATCGAGAATATCTTACATCGCTGCAAAACCGCCCGAAATGGTGCCGGCGTAATCCCAACATGAACATCGGGGATATTGTGGTTCTCAAGGAATGTAACATACCACCTGCAATATGGCCGATGGCGAAGGTTATTTGAAGTGCATCCTGGCAAGGACGGATTAGTTCGAGTCGTCAAATTTAGGACCGCTCATGGTGACTTAACTCGTTCCATAACCAAGGTGGCAGTTCTACCCTTGTCCTGAAAATAACTTTTCAGCGGGGCCAGGCATGATCAGGAATGAGACACGAACACACCATATGTTGCCTAGTTGGCAACTCTACGTTGTATTAATTTTCTTATGTTACTTTGTTTAGTATTCATTGTCTTATGTTACCTTACTTAGCAACTTCTAAGCTTTGTTTGCTTTGTAATTTATTTATTTATACTTGTTCATTCATTTTCTCTCGTTCATTCTTCTATTGGCCAGAGAGACAGCAGCACCTGACTGCTTAGCAAAGAAAGTAAGTTGGAGATAAAATTTGTTACTATTTCTGTAATACAAACATTGTAATAGTAAAATCAAATTCGAAATTGTCAAACAGAAAGAGAAATAAATTTAGAGAGACCGAAAAGAATACAGATTTTGTTGTTGGAAAATCTAATTGGATAGTTGTTAAACCGAAAAGAAAGGATTTTATCAGAAACGGAAAACATCAGCTTTATATAAGAATTGAACTTCGTTGAATTTATTTGCGAAAAATTTTAATTCAGTTTTGTTAATTGTAACAATTTAATTAATGCAAACAAAATTTATGATTTGATGTAAAGTCAAGTGCGGCTGGATTTATGAATTAACCATTTAAAAATTTATTTGTACTTTTAAACTTAGTAAACACTGTATATCTAACTTTTAAAACTGTATATTTGACATGGACAGAGAACAGATTTTTGCATTAAACGTGAACGTGTTGAAGGCAAAGCTTACGGAGCTGGGTCTGTCGACAAACGGACGAAAAGCTACGTTGCAGGATAGGCTTTGCGAACATTTCGGTCTGACCATAGGTGGGGACGGTGGTTCTGACGGTGAAAGTGATTCATTTGAAAGTAGTGTATTACCGGTGGCGGGAGTTGGGCGCCCTATGTTCACTTTGCGTGATATTGAAGGATCTCTTCCAACATTTAGCGGTACGGGACAGCCCACCGTGGAAGAGTGGCTAGACGATTTTGAAGCCAATGCTACTGCAGTCCAGTGGGGAGATTTGCAGAAGTTCATATATAGTAAACAGTTATTGAAGGGTGCCGCAAAACTTTTCATCCGCAGCCCGCGTGGTATATCCTCTTGGAATTCGCTTAAACAATCTTTACAAAAAGAATTCGGCATTGTTATATCATCTATTGAGGTACATCGTGCCCTTAGAAACCGTCGAAAGCGTCCAAACGAAGACTATCGCGAGTATCTCTATAGTCTCGTGGAGATAGGGCGGCCGATAAATTTGGATGATAAAAGTCTAATCGAATATTTTGTAGACGGTATTCCAGACTCGCGATCAAATAAAGCGAATTTATACCAGTCTAATACTATACAGGAGTTGAAGGCACAGATTCTAGTTTATGAAAACGTGCGTTCGGGGCATCCACCCAGTACGGGCTCTTTTCAAAACAAACGTGAGGATAAAACGGTTAGCAAAGCACAGGGAACTGAGACGAAACGTTGTTATAAGTGTGGCGAAGTAGGTCATTTAGCCAATAAGTGTCAACGGCCACGACAGACCACATGTTTTTGATGTGATCAACCTGGACATCGCGTTGCTGATTGCCCTAAGAAGAAGGCACAAGTAAAGCAGGAAAGTGCGAGGGTTAACACACTGGAGGTGATGCGCGTTGCGTCTATTGCCTGTGTAATTTTCAAAGACTTAACGATTAATAATTTCACGTTTTCTGCATTGATTGACACGGGTTGCGACTTATGTCTCATGAGATACGACGTTTTGATGATGTTAGGAGAAATTGAGCTGTCTAACGATATACATCAACTGCGGGGAACAGGTAACAATATTCTGACGACGATTGGTAGTTTCGTAATTAGGGTTACAATAGATGGAATTGAGTTAGACATCACCTTCCATGTCGTACGCGAGCGTGACATAGGAAATGGAGGCTATTATTCAGAATTATTCGCCTAAGAAACAACGTGATTCTCCAGTTGCTATGAAGATCTGTTTGACGGACGATACCCCGGTATTTCAAGGGCCGAGACGCATGTCTTACTCAGATAGGTGTGTAGTTGACAAACAAATTGTGGAGTGGGTTAAGGAGGGCATTATCCAGCTAAGCTCTTCGGAGTATGCATCGCCAATCGTGCTGGTGACGAAGAAGGATGGTAGCAAAAGGCTTTGTTGTGACTACCGACGCCTTAACGAGAAAATTATGAGGGATAATTTCCCAATGCCGCTAATGGACGACGTCATTGAGAGACTGCAGGGAGCGCGGGTATTTACCACATTGGATTTGAGAAATGGATTCTTCCATGTACCAATCGAGGAAGACTCCAGAAAGTACACGTCATTCGTCACCCATCAAGGTCAATATGAGTTTTTGTATGTCCCGTTTGGAATTTCAAATTCCCCGGCTGTCTTTACGCGATACATTTCCGCAGTATTTAGGGAGCTAGTAAGAGATGGTAATTTACATGGACGATTTAATAATCCCATCCATGGACGTAGGTCAGGGTATAGCTAAATTGAAAGTGGTGTTAGGCAAAGCGGCTGAGTATAACCTGCGTATCAAATGGGAGAAATGCCAGTTT